ACAGCTCTAGAAAATCTCTTATTCACAAATACACTTCCCATTACCCCTTTGTCCCACCAGTTTGGAGGAGGAGGGGACAGGCAGGATGTGAGACCAGCTGGTCATCAGCTCAGACAAAGAAACCTGCTGAATGTGCTCTGGCACCCAAAAGAAACTGATCTCTCATGCAGCAGTTTGTTCAGAGACTCGCCAGCTCTTCATTTCCTACCATTTTTATTTTGAACAAGCCGAGTGGATCCTAGTAGGTTTGACTCTTTCAAACCTACTAGGATTACTATGACCTGGGTGACTGACAACCTTCACCAGTAAGCTGAGGAGGTGATTACATCGGTTTGGTTTTCTCCATTCACTATGAGAACGGGGGCCACCTTGTGCTAAAACAGCACAGGGAAAGCATGTTTTTAAAAGTCTTGTGCTTGTGAACAGCAGTACATCGATTTCTAAATGTATTGAAGCAGATAAAAAGGGGACGAGCCTGAAAAATTATGTTTTCCACTGCAGAGCAGGCAGCGTCAGGTGCAATTTATCTTTGGCATTAGCCTAGATCAGCTAGTCACCGGGGAGAGAGTACAGCATGAGGACATAGTTACATATGTATGCCCTAGATTATAGCAAACACCCTTCTCACACACACACACACACACACACACACACACACACACACACACACACACACACACACACACACACACACACACACACACACACACAGTGTGTGTGTGTGTAGAACTCCTTTACCTTTACAAGAACTTAGAGCAACAATGATACACAAGCTATTTTTCAATGCTAGTAAAGATAAAAAACAACTTTGTTAAGCTAAGGGTGAAGAGGCCAATTTCTAAATAAAGAGAAATCACTCAGATTTCTAATTTATGTGTTAAAAACGATGCATGAGGTGCACTAGTACAGGCTGGGGTAAAACGTGTGGCACTGAGGGGTGACTTCATGGCTGGGTGACGTCTTAATCTGCCCTTTAGTCACAGGTCTGTCAGAAAACTCACACACAGACAGAATGGTGACAGCTGACGATTAAAAATGATGCACAGTCACCCTTCCTATTTAATGGCCACATAACAATCTGCTGAATTTAACGCAATACATTTTTGCATCTTTGCAAATTAAGACAAAACCATGCAAGTCTCTTGATTGAATAAGAATGTTTGTATAGTCATAGAAACTCTCAAATGCCCCTTTTTACATTAAAAATAATTTTGAATGCTAGATTTGACGTCAAACAAACCTAGAAGTTTCTTTTGGGTAATAGAATTGGGTAAACATACATAAAACCTGTTTGGCAACGTCACATGGGGACACACCCATCAAGTATTTGCTCCTTGATCAACAAAAGAAAACCCAGAAACAGGTCGATGAGTCAAGGCAATGTATTGGCTGCAGGCTGCTGCACCTGCACTCAACCAGAGTCCTGTGAAAAACACTTGATTCTGCTGTAACTGCAAAAAAGGTAGAAAATGAATAAATATTTGAGCCCAAGTAAGACCAGAGCAGAATACACAGACAACACGAGGAGCTGGGACACTGGATATGAGGGGGGAGAGAGAGGGGGGCGATCAGACCATTGAATGGATCTCTTTGTAACCCATCATGGGACTTCAGTAGGACCAAAGAATACAATACTCTTCTCAAACATGATCACTAGATTTATAAATGGCTAAAATACACAGAAAATAAAAGCAGGACAAAAAGATATTTACCTTTCTACTCTAAAATCCCAAACTACACCAATCAGTGACTGAAAGTGTCTGGATACCCACTTGAATAATCAAATGCCCTTTTTAACTCCCTCAGCTGGTTTAAAGTTTTAATAATCAGAACAGATTCCTTAACAAAAGCTTCTCAGATTAATCAGATTATCTGAAGACACAAAAAATAAAATCCCAGATGACAAAAAATTACAACTACATTTGTTTGTTTACGTTTCATCAGCTTAAATTATGTGTGTGTGTGTGTGTGTGTGTGTGTGTGTGTGTGTGTGTGTGTGTGTGTGTGTGAGTTCCTGAATCCCATAAACAACTGAACTGATATTCAAAAATCTCTCAAAATATGCCTATTACGATAAAGTTTTGAAGTAAACCTCACTGAGGATAGACAGCCAATCCTCATCCAACTCAAGTTTGTCAATAAGTCAGGTCAGTTTTACAATTTGATGTTTCTGCAGCAGAGGGGGTGCTTCAAAAACACATTCTGAGATAATTATGTTACAAGAGTTGACCAAAATTACTAACTCTTAATTTAAGAGGATCTTATGTTAAAACTCAGTCCCTGTGTTTAATGATCAGGGCACAGAATAGTTTTAAATACAATTATTCAGAAGGTCAGCCACACGGCTACAGAAAAGACACCATAAGGCTTTCCTGAGATTAGTTTGCACAGAACGACTAAACTGAGCTGTGACACAGCATTAGCAGTATTAGCGGGGTGTATGAGCTGGTATGAAACTACGTACCAGCTGCCTACTTAGAATACTTCATAAAATCTAAACAAAAAGTCCCACCTTAATCTGTTGCTATTATTTATAAAATAATCACTCCCTATTTAAGACCGATCTACTAAAGACAATTATTTTCTTGTCCTAAAACATTCCTGATTCAGTCAAATGCATCAACGGGAAGCATAATCTGCGGTGGATAAGCAGAGCAGAGGGGGTGAGTCACAGCAAACTTAAGAAACTATCAGGACGACTAAATCTCCATCTGTCTGCGATGTTAAACCCCTACCAGCACAATCTAGACCAATCCACTAACAGCAGCATGCCGATTCACCATCAGACAGTTCCACCATTTGTTAAGTAAATGTCAGACATGTTTGGTTGTCTCATGTTAATGTAAGACAATGTTGTTTCAACATTTTATGACACCTCAACTGGGCCTGCTTGACTGGTCACCTTGCTGGTGAACGTGTCCCAGAACAGCGACAGAGGTAACACCTGTGACAATGACAAATGCTCCATTCAGACGCACTGAATAATCAGATGAGCAAAACCAAACTGAGCTCTTACAATGGAAGCTAAAAATAGCCCAAGACTGAAAAGTCTGTCCACAGACCCATCCCTGAGTGGAATACACAGCAACAGGAATGGGGCACGCAAACGTGAAGAAGCATCCAGGTGCTTAGCTTTGAGCTTGAAATGGTAATGCCACTCATTGTACAGTCAAGGCTCTTCCTCTGAACTCTGCGGGTCTGACCCTTCACACCGCTTCCTCGCTAAAGCCCTACTGCCTCTGAGGACCAGAGAGGATCCTTATGCTTTGTGTCTGCTCGCCACGCGTTTAATGTGACCACACAAGACGTTCTGTCGGCATGCATTCATGTCTTCTGGATGAAGCAAGGACAACTGAGAAACAATGTATACTAGGGCTTAAGAAATTCCTTAAAGACCAAGTTCACCCCCCACCCACCCACACACATTCCAACGCTCCTTTTTCAGGAACTAGAAATTAGCCGGAGCAGAAGATGGCAAGATTTGGAGTCTTACTTCCTGATATTCAGACACCTACACTCTGATTGGCTAACAGCAACATGACTACCACTGACTGCGACATCCTCTGCTCTCTCTTGGACTCTAAACCAACACCAGCTGTCCCCGTTGCAAGCTAAGATGGGCTAGTCCATGAATGAAAATTTTCAATGTGACGTAGATCTGACTGGCTTTTCTAATCCAAGCGTTTCCCGTCTATTTTCTAGCAGTGGCTAATGAAGGAAATACGAGTAGAAGACCACTTTCACGTTAAACTCAGAGTGATTGATCATATAAAAAAAATTAAATTGTAAAAAACGTTCTCAGTGAACTTGGGTCTTTAAAGGGATGCATTCTGCAGATTTACATTAGATAAAATTTTAGCACAATATCTGTAAATTGACAGTTATACCAAATTTTGTGTTTCCTGAGGTCTGTGGTGGCCATATTGAACATGTCTCTTTCTGAAAGTTTAATTTATCCAGTGGTTCATGAGGTATTTCACCAACAACCCCACAGAGGATACTGTGTTCTTTTACTTCTGAGCAGCAGGGAAACTCTTAGGTGTTTCTAAAGCTTCTCCCAATTAATTTATGAAAAACCCTGCAGGCAAGTCTGGTGGTGGTTGGTTTTATGCATTTAAAAGAAAAAGGGGTGAATATTTTACCAAATAAAGACAAAATTATGTAAATGAATATTAAAAAACAAAACTTGGCATCAAGTAACTTTGATCAGCTGATCAAAAACACCTCAAATTAGACACAAGTATAGTAAACAATAAACAAACTAAATAAGGCCAACACTTCTATAGGTTTCTGCTGACCTTAAAAGAGTTAACACTCTTCATTAGCCACTGTGCCACTTGTCCCTTTCACCACAAAGCTAAAGCCATGAAATGTGAGAGAGACTGCTGGTGTCTACGACTACCCTAGTCTGTTCATTTAAACTACCTGCCAGATCCCAGTCACAGCCAGGGCATTGTCCTAGAAAAAACACAATGGTTTCGTTCCAGAGGGGAACCAGAAAAACTATCCTCCTCTTAAAATAAACAGGCAGAGGACTTTTGTCACGTTTCAGACTGTAGTGTGGGTGTGGACAGCTTTGCATGTCATTCCACACATGCCTTCCTACAAAGCATCCAAGCTAACTGACACAAGCTGCATGTTGTGAAGCAGCGGTCTTGGTCTGAGTTAATGGGAATAATCAGTTGTGCAGCTTATCTAGTGAAAACCTTATTTTATGTCAATATCTTGACCTAGTAGGGGAGAATGACCTAACTTTTACATCATTCATTCATCATTTTACACCATTCAAGGATATAGTGATCTGATCCGAGGAGGTGTTGGTCAGGTGATATGCTGCTGGTGTGTTTTACTACTTACTTTACCTGGAAATGGACCTTTGCTCGGGTGAACAAAACCAGAAACACCCAAGTGATGCGGGGTGAACTTGACCTAGCTTTGTTGTAATGACCGTTCAGTTCAAACCTACTCGCTTTTCGTCACGTAAGATACGCTAACCATACCTTTGGCAGCTCTTTGAGTTGGTTGGAATCGAGCAGAAGTTCCTCCAGGCTGCGGCTGTAGCGGAAGATTTCATCAGGGACAGCCTTCAGGTTGCAGTGCCGCTTGTCCACTGACTCGACGTGGCGGTTGCAGCGCCACAGGGGGATACACTTCAGCATGTCCGGCCGCAGAGGGGGGTTTGGTTGCCGGTACTACTGAAATCTCCGCATTAGAGGGTGCAGACAAGAGGAAGAAGGTCGCTGGGAGAGGTGGTATCTTGCGGGAGTGGGCTCACCCAACGTCAAAACACAGACTGTTGTGTTCCCACGAAGATCCGGAACAGGAGGCCGAAATCCACTTAAGACACAAAATAATCCTTTCGATCTGTTAGCGATAAATTCCCCGTGTCAGTCCATTTGATTTGTTTAATGGTTGTCCGTTTTGTCCCAGCGTCATCCAGCCCGGATTTAAAATGAACGTAAACAAAACTGAGCACTCCCACTGGACTCAAGTGCTACCTCACTTTCTTGCGCTCACTTTTTCACCCAGAGCAGCGTTAGCTTGTTGTAGCACCATCCTTGAATCGGTCCGAGGCTCCGCAGAGGCTAGCTCAAAAATCATGAAATAAAAAAAACAGCTAGGCATAAAAGAATAATTAAACTTACGAAGACAAACGTGGTGACTTAAACGACAACTTAATTCTTTGTGACACGTAAACAGCTATGACTGAGTAGCTTACACCTTACACGGTACGAGTCAGCAGAGATTATCCAAGTGGAGAAGCGTAGTGATGTGCTAGTCCTCAGCGGGCGTGTTAGCAGGCTAGTTATAGTTAGCCAGTATCGGCTCACTCGTCTTTGTGCCAAGCTGCCGTTAGCAAACAAGGGATTAATAACTATTTAGAAACACTCAAATTATATGCAGTAGCAACATCCCAAAATAAGTTTAAAAACAAACTAGGGAGAGTTCGCTTCATCCAGTCCTGGTAAAATCCCAATAGAGAGCGCACGAGCTTCGGCAACAGCCGCGCTTACCACCCCTGTTGAGCCGAGGCAGGCCGGTTCATCGTGTGGGGGGCTGGGCTAGGCTCCAGCTTGAGTACCGCCGGTTAGCTCCTCTGTGGCAGAGGCCACGCATTACTTTAGCCCCACCTAGCGGCTTTTGGGGGTATTTCAACTGAGAATGTCTACAAAACTCGAAAACCAACAACTCGGAAAATATGATAAATATATAAATATATGACAATTTTGATAAAATAATATATTAAAAACTATATCAGTTGATGAAATTACTTTAGAATAACATTAAAATGCGTTAAATGGTAAAACTCAAATCAGGTGTTAACAGTAAAAATTTGAAGTGAAGCAACATTTAAAAATTCAGTTTCTACATTTTATTTAAAATGCAGTTTTCACATAATTCATTTGGAGCTACATTTGTCCAAATCAACAGGGATACTCTTAATGGTGATTAAGAGGGAGGTATGTAATTTAAAAGCAATTTAGTGGATCAAATGTTAAAATAATTTCTTCTGACAATTTATCAAGATTAAATTTGAACATATTTTTAAAATGTAGCTCATAAAAGTTAGCTTTTTAGATCCAGAACAAATTTACCAGCATCCACTTTGTCATGAATATCTGGTATAGTATTGGTAACTTTATAGACATCTACAATTACCAGAATCACACAATAGGACTCGTTACAAACTATGTCTATAATCTATAAACGGCTTTCAGTTATTACACATGCATCATTATGATTGTTTATTTGCTTTCTTCTTTGCTATTAAAAAAATACAACTAGTTTTGTTTTTGTGGACAAATAACCTTTAATCGTAGAAAGGAACAAACTGTTTACATGTCCTGGCAATTAACAGAAAACTAAAGAGCTAAAGCAGGGGAATAAAAATGATAAACATTTTACAATATTGGATTACAAAAGTTTAAACCTTGCACACAAAGAGTCTTCACAGATCACAAAGCAAAAACAAAATATGAATTTGAATGAATTCTCCCAGAAGAGCTTTCAATATGAACATCCATAAAAAAAAAGGGGTGACAATAAAAACGTAATTACAGGTTTCAGAGGCCTGCATCTTTAGCTGCAGTGAGAATAACCCAGATGACTTGGTGATGGGTATCATACGGGTGCTGGTAAATCACGTTATGCAGACAAGTCACTGCTGTTGAAACGATCTTGGTCATACACTTCTGCTACCACTTTGCGACCCCCGAACCAGCGGTCATTCAGGGCTTGGATAGCTTTGTTCATCTCTGAGGCCGCGGAAAACTCTACAAAGATTTTAACAATGATGTCGGCATCTTCTTCTTCTCCTTGCTTCTCCTGGTAGATGATGACTCGGTTGACGGTGCCAAACTTCCCACACTCCTCCGTCACCTCACCTTCCAGGTCGTCGTCGATGTCCTCCGGTCCAACCATGTTTCGAAGCACCATCACTGTGGACTGAAACACAGCACTACACATTAGAGCTTCTCTCTCAATAAAACAGGACCGAATAAGAGCTTTTACGAACACATGAACATGTCACCTCCGATTTTCTGAGTAACTTCTGCATCACCATGTGTCTGGCACTGCTGCCTGAGATGCTCATGTGCTCTTGGTCACTCAACATCTCCTGCCCCGTACCATCCTGGAGGCCCTCCTCTTTCTCTTCTTTCTTCTCTAATTGCATGGAGCCACCAGCTTGGTTAGACAGGACCGGTGGTGATGCAAGAACAGGGTTCACAAGACCGACTTGGGGAATCACCGGAATGGGAGGACGCACTGGGGTCACGCCTGTTTAGAGAAGGGGCACAGGGCACAATGCAAACACACTCGCTTTAAGAAGCAAGTAGTTTAACCATTTAACACCGATTACAAAATAAGTGAAGCATTAAACCCAGTCCAGAAAACACCCCGTGTCTACTAAGACATTTGAGATATAATTGAGCAATTTTCTTTAACCATCAATTCAAACCCTTCAATCCATTTGAACGCATCCTTAAAAGAACATCTATGAATGAGAGATGTATTGAGTGCACGGGGCGCTCAGGCCTGTGATGTCATCTCGGTGTGAATTCTGAGAAGAACGAGGCATCATGCGTTGCCACTGTTACACAATCTTACCGCCAAGCGAGGCGGCAGCACAGTGATGGCTGACATGTGGAAGGGTAAGCCGGCTTTGCAGCTCAGGGGTGTGCAGTAATGGTGACGTACAGTTTGACACCAGCTGGCCATGAGATTTAAAGTGTAAACAATCAACCTAATCATTGCCACGGAAACGAGAAGCCAGGCTAATCTGTTCAACGTGTTTTGAACAGTGTCAACAAAAGAGAATTTTTATTTATTGTTTAGAAATACATAAACAGGATTTCACTTCCAACGTTTCTGTGTTGTAAACAATTTTAGTTTCACCCTCAAGCATTGGATCCAAGTTAGACCGCCTTGAAACTCAAGCATTTCAAGGAGTTCAAGCACCCATAATCAGCTGCTGTAAAAGAAAATTACCATGATGATTCGCCTAAACTCTGGTTTGATAAGAACAAACTCACCCGTGCAGTACATACCTGTGATTACACCTGGTGCCTGGGCGGCCATTACAGCCTGCGGTAATCCCATCTGCTGACCGAGAAGCTGAGGCGCAGCCAACGCCCCTAAGACTGACGCACCAGCTACAGCCTCCTTAAGAGAGGGGGGCCGGAGACATTAGGTATGGGAAACACACAGAGCACAGCACAAGGCAACACAGTCAACAATCACACAACAAGACAAAGTGTGAGCGCAACCTCAGGTGTATTCAGTCAAGATCAGCATTACTGCAGGTTAGTAACAAGACTTTGGCTCTGGATAAGGAGCTCAACGATCAGACTCCATAAAAACACACAAAGACTTTCATGTAGAAAATAGGGATACTGACCAAACAGTCTTATATTTATGAGCTAACTGAGCAGGTTTCATTTACATCTTTGTAAAAAGAGGCCTTCTCCCAGTCACACCAGAAAAAGTTCTACTCTCATTCCATCTGCGCTCATATCTAGCTAGATCTGAGTCATATTTACCTGGAAGGCCATTAAATCCCTTTGGAAGGGATTCATACTTGCCTGGGCCGTTATCTTAGCGGTAGCTGCCGCTGCAGCAACAGCTGCAGCAGGTGGCAGCCCACCTGGGGTTGTGGGGGTCAGTAAGGGCATCGGTGGAGTCACTGCTTTGCCAACCCTTAAGTATTGACCCCCCAGGTCAAAGAGGTTCATAGAGGACACAGCATCCAGGGCTGACTGAGGTTTTTCATACTCTGTTGGGTGATTAATTAAAAACATGGTTAGTAGCAGAGCATCAGTCACACAAGAGCATGGGAGAATAACCCCCCCCACGCTCACCAATGAAACCAAAGCCTCTGTGCCGCCCAGATGTGGGGTCTCTGGCTAACGTGCAAGATTTGATCCTCCCAAAGGCCTCAAACACACTCTTGATGTCATCGTCCGACAGGTCGGGGTGGACAGATGCTACGTAGATCCGGTTATAGGCGCGCGCCTCCTCTGCCAGCTGGTCGATGATGGGTTGCGCCTGACCGATGTTACTTGGCCGCCCAACCTATAGTACAGATTAAAGTACGAGGGGCTTCTGAATGGGGGTGTGTGTATAACAGCAAGGGAGAATGCACCGATGTAAAGCTCTGTGTGTAAAGCTCTGTATTCCTGCAGCCCTAACATTCAGTAGCTAAAACGACAGCTTTCCCAGTTAAGAAAAGCCAATATTATGAAATGTGTGTGTGTGTGTGTGTGTGTGTGTGTGTGTGTGTGTGTGTGTGTGAGTGAGTGAGTGAGTGACCTGATGAACTGGTGACAAACCTTCCAGTAGATTCTGCTGAATGTGCTGTGTTACAGTTTCTGTCTGATCGCCTCTGTCTTTGCAAAAAAGCACAAGGTCCCTGTCTAAGACGAGCATCTAGGTGATATTGACATCTGTACTAGAGCTGAGGCGGCCGAGTAACACCACCCAGGCGCAATCCATCATCAGCACACCTTGGTATCAGAGTGATTTCAAGCGCTGACGGCCATCCCACTGGAAATCATCACTTAAAACAAGCTACAAGAACATAGCACTCATACGTTAAACACACACACACACACACGTACAAACACGCACCTAGAAAAAAAAAAAAGAAAGATATTATACATCAGCATATTTTAATTATCCTTAAAATACAGCAAGAGTAAGAGAAATCAAAAGTACCTTAATGTTTCTTCCCCCCAGCATGACCGAGTTCATCTGTTCCAGGGCCAGCTGAGCAGCCTCTGGCACGTCGTACTCCACAAAAGCAAAGCCCTGAAGTAAAAAACCATAAAAAAAATTCATCCACAACCATTCAATGTAATCCTAAATTACACTTTATAGAAAACTACAGACCTTGTGCTTCATTGTAACCGAATCCCAAGACATGTCAATGCTCTTGATCGGGCCGAAGGGGGCAAAGGCCTGTCTGATGGTGTCCTCGCCCAGCTCGTAGTATATGGAGCCCACGTACACGCGACACATGATAGCCAGCGCACGTTGCCGCTGAGCTGCCACCTGACAGTTCGGAGGGGAAAAAAAAAAAAACGCAATAAGCATTAAAAAGTAAAATAAAGACAGCTAAACACTCACACACACACACATTAATGTGTATTTTTAATTGGGCTTATTTTTCCAAAAAGCCAATTCCAGAATTTGGGAAGTCTGGACAGGTGATTGGAGCAGTAAAGGGATGATTTAATCAACAGATAAGCTCTACTAGCATGTGTAGCTGCTTTCTAACACTGATGTCGTCAGTGGGCTTAAAGTACAGCCTCCTTTCTTATGGAGGAAAACACACTGAAGTGATCAACATGCACAGCCCTCAAAGATTTGGCTTCAGTAACTGACCTGTAATCCAGGGATGCAAGTAAGGTAACAAAAGTAATCGTGGCGCTCAAACGAAATCCAAACAAAGTCTTGATGAAAGCATTCAAACTCTTCTCAAGTTTACGTTGAGGGATGCTTTTATCAGCAAAAGGAGATGTTTTACTAAAGCCTTTAGCGTCTAGGCTGCTTCTCCTAGATTCAGTTTTACGCTACAGTTCCCTAACTCGGATGACTTGTTCACCGACAAAAAAAACAAACTTGACTGAGATGGCAAAAAAGATCCCTGTCACACAAGTTCTCTCATTTTGGTCCACAAAGGGATTGCTATCCCTCTTTTGTCCCATGCCAGAAGCTGTTGGTTTTAAAACAAGCAGATGCATATTTTTCAAAAAGACGTGCCTTTCCTCCCTTTTTGGAACTCTTCAACAAATAAAAAGCCTGTTTCAAAGGATCATATTGTTTAAAAAATACCATGTTAGGAAAAAATAAATGAAAAAGCACAAATACAAGTTTCCACAATTAAGTCAGTCATCTCAAACCTTGCAGACGTGGCTGCAAGGACACTCGCTGCATAAAGCAACGTTTCTTTATAAAATATGCATTCTTTTGTCAAGTCAAAGGCAGGGACTGTTGCCAATGCAACCAGTAAAAGAAGGGTAACAGCCCTTTTCCATTGGAAATGCGCACAAGAAAAATAATTTAATAATCTATTGACCGATTGTAAAGGTGAGAGAGGATCTCCAAAGCCCATTGTCACTGCTGCCATCTGAAAGACAGTAAAGATGAAAAAAGTGCTGAAAAGTAGGTTAGATACCTATTTGCTTTGCTTTTTAAAGAAAGGTCAATGCTTTGCAAGACAGACACAGGCGGTTAAGCTAACACTATATTCAGACCCTCCCTTTAAACAGCAAACATTCTGAGGATTTACCTCATCACTACTTCATAAATCACCACACAGCAAATCAGAAAACCACGTCCCCTTTTAAAAAGTGCAAAGCATTTAACACGATAACCAAAGCCTTCAGGATGATCATCTCCATCTGAAAAAGAGCAGAGGCACATGGTCTACACATGTGTTCGTTGTCACAGCACCGGGGGAGAAAAGGGAGGAAGACTTCCAAGAGAACTAACGCAACTCCGACTTCTGGTATTAAGAGACGCCGAGTTTCTAGAGCACGGACAGATTAGGATATTCTGTCACAGGAGATATGTCACATTACAAAGTTTGGCACAGAAACACAAGTTTTCTACATCTCACCTGCAGGTTGGTTAGCTGCTGTTGCTGATGGGCAATCGTCTGCTTCACCAACACACTCTTAATGCTTTGTTCCATGGCATACTTCTTTGCCTAAAAGAAAGAAAACCATGTTTAACTGCATTTTTGACAAAAATTTGTAATAATAATCTACGTTAATCAACCTAGGTTAATTGCTTATTAAAATCAGGCACATGTCATTGCGCAATGCTTTCTGTCACAAACATCTGTTCTGTTTTGTAGCGCTGCTCGTGTATTGGTTGTGAACGCATTGCTGCAAAAACGTCGCCATCATAGGGGCGCTTTAATCTGTGCCATCATTCTTTCTCTGCTCTTTGTAAATACCAAAAGAGAGCCATCACAAAAGGATGACAAACAAATACCAACAGCATCTGAAACCTTACCTAACCTTTGAGTGGATCAGCTACTGAAGCGACAAACTAAAAAAAACAAACAAATTTAATTTGCATTCTACTGCATAAACCGTGTTAGGCCTTCACTTTTAGCTTTCCACTGAACGTAAATGCTTCAGGAACATTTGTGACTGATAATAGCAAGGTGGGGGATCAAATTATTGTGTAACCGGCAATCAATTAGCCAAATGTAGTGTTTTATGTTGCATTCATCTAATTTTTAATCTTTAACGTTATTGTTTCTGCGTGCGGGTTTCCATTGTAGTAGAAAGGACAGGTGAGGTGAACAGGTGTGCTGCAGAGATGGGATGTGATTAGAGTTTTCCTGTGAATGCAAAATTTGCATTTCAAAAATGTCTCAACTGCATCATGGAGTGCGTTTACATGCAGCCAGTAACCCTTTTAAAACCCGAATATTCACAATAACCCGGTTCCGCAGGTCCATGTAAACACCGCCAAACACCCGGATATGCTCATAACCGGGTTTTTAAAAACCCGGTTACTACACCTGGGGTAACCCTTTTCTAACCCGAATGTTTGGTCGTGTAAACGCATACCGGGATATCCCCATCAAAGAGTGTGTTCTGCGCATGCTCTGTTCGCAAGGAATCTTGGTCTTTTGAGTAGCGAGACGTCTTGTATGCGCCAGAACACCGGAAGTAAACAACAAGTTGGGAGCAAAATGGCGAGTCGCGGCACAGCACCACACTTTTGGAGTGACGAGGAAACTAAAGCGCAAACAAACGAGGTCGCTATCTCTTCCGAACTGGGAAACATGTTGTTGTTTTCACGTATACCGGAACAAGAAGAACCGGAAATGACACATACTGCGTCTGGACGTAGTCCATACGTCCTGATGCTACCCCAACGTCCGCATTTATATCGGGTTATGCAAGTTAGGGGTAACTCTTTCTATTTATGCTTGTAAACGGGTTATGCTGATCAACTCAGAAACCCGAATACCGACCTTAACCCGATCATAACCCGGATATTGGCTGCATGTAAACGTAGTCATGGATTAAGGTGGAGTGATCTGTTTTTGCAGGTGCACTCATACTGCACAGTAGGCAGTATGCGCTGCCAATACAAGCTGCTGTGGCGCGTCAGACAATATTTAATCTGAAACCATATATGAAGGCAGTGTGATTTAACTTGTCACCAGCTAATCGTGGCTCACAGCTGGTGTGTTGGAGATGGACGTCACTAGCTACCATTTCTACCTCATCTCAAAACCCTCCCCAGTCAAGTCAGGCATGCCCTAGGGCTCTGTCCTGGAGCATGCCTGAGCACAAAAGAGATCCAATTTCTACCTACATTATATTATTTATATGGACTCAGCACAGTGGGGATTCTTTTGAGCAGAGATGCAGAAAGCGGCAGGCAGACCGCTGATTATTCATGAACTCCAGCTGCGTTCTGCAAACGGGCACAGTAACATTGTCTAACTTTCTAAATGGTAGAGGTGCTGAAAAAAAATCGATTAAAGTCACAATCAGGATTCTTATTTATAAAGATTCAGAATCGATTCACAAAGGTTCAGAATCGATTCCAAGAACTCAAATATTTGGCATGTTATAGGTTTGAGACGCACTTTTTTGATCTTTGTTAGGAGAGTCAGTACGCAGTTTATTTTTGTGGTCCCATAAATTGAGATGATTTATGTTTGAATCTGCTGATAAAAGGGCACTTGAATGTAATTTTTCCATACTCAGAAATTTGAGATATTCTCATATTTATTTTCTGAGTTGATAAATGAGTACTCAGGATTACTCATGTAACTTGTTTCTACACACACTTGAAAAGTATTTGACCATATTACTTTCAAAGCTACTGTTAGGTAACTACAGATTTGTTATATTTTACAAGGTAAGCAAAAACAAATGTTGCCTTTTGGTCAAAAGATTACTTCTGTTTAGTTTTAGAATCACTTTATTTTACATTGTAAATTTGCATTTTTGGAGCATGACCAGTTTAAAGTCAAATAAAAATGTCCCATAGCTTTATCGAGAATCGATTCAGAATCGAATCGGCACCCCAAGAATCGAAATCGATCAAATCGTGACTTGCTCTAACCCCTCCTTTCCACTGGAGCTGTGACGGAGCCATCAGCAGCACGTCATAGCTGCTGATAGGAACCGCTGTGGTCAACAGAACCTTTTCCACCGGAGCCGTCAGCAGCGCGAGTCGGCCGCGTCTCAGGAGCAGCATGTCGCAGCCCTTACGCGCCGGTTCTATTTTCTATGCGCTACGCCTTTGAAACGGGTCAAGTTCAACATTTTTGGGGAAGGAAAGACAGGAAATCGGACGCGGAAACGGAGCGAAGCTTCCCGAGATTTTCAGAATAAAGAAACGTACTGCCTTCTGGTTGCTTTACTTTAAAAAAAAGTTATCACCTAGCTAGCGGTCTCCTTTGCTTTTCCATAACGGACGACGAAAGGTTGATTACTAAAGTGGAGAAGTACCCAATCCTGTTTGATCCCAGTCACAGTTTTTATAAAGACAACGTCAAGAAGGATAACGCATGGAGTGACGTATCTGCGGGTTTGGGGCAAGATGGAGAGTTTATGGTAATTATTAACGTGATTTCTTTTGTAGCTTTCTCCTGCTTGCTGTTGTGTTTACTGACAAAGCCACGCGTGATTTTGCTAATGTCGCGTGACTTCGTGCTCTGTCGGTGACAGCTGCTCCCCTGCTGCTTTGCGTCTCGTGAGAAGGGCCAAGCAGCAGAATACGCGAGCAAGACGTGCTGCTGCAGTAACGTGCTGCTGACGACTCCGGTGGAAAGGAGGGGTAAGACTCACATCCCTACTAAGTGGCGTTACCAAAAAACATATAATTAACACACAGTCATTCGTGTCCGTTCATTTTCTCTCTGGTAAGTTCTGTCTGTATTTGAGCATGACGTGTGGACGCGCACACGCTGCAGCACTCGTCACTGGCGCAGCCGGGCAGCGCAGCACAGACTCCGCTTTTTTTGCGGTCAATAGATAATTTTGATCTGCTAGTTAAAAAGTTACTTGTGAGGTGAAAAAGAAGGGAGCAGACTGGAGTTTTTCTGGAGGACTGGGAGATGCAGGAAGATCAGAGACAGACAGGACAGGAAGATAGAAAAATAAAAACCAAGAAAACAAAACAAAGTTCTTAAAAAATAAAATGTAGGTAGATTGATCCCACTACACGTTTGTACCTGTATAAAGCAATAATTTATCAGCATGTAGTATTTATATAGTTGATACAATTCAGATCATCTTCAATACTCCGTCCCATGCCCAGGGACGTATCTAAGCATTTTGGGGGCCAAGGCAAAATAAACCCCTGCCAGGTATTTTAAGTTGAAGTGCTATCTGTTTTTATATTAGACTTTTTATACTTGCAATAAAGTCCAAAAGTGAAGAAGTTCTGTTATTTATTACTTGATTGTTTAAGCTACCTCACAGAAATGATCTGTTCTTAAAAATAAAAATAAAAAGGTATTTAAATAAAAAATAAGGAACTTTCTGGAACGGGTTCTTCTTTTTCTTTTCTTTTTTTACGTATCAAAAGTATCGGATCGGGACTCGGTATCGGCCGATTCTCAAAATCTAATGACTCGGACTCGGGGGCAAAAAACCTCATCGGGACATCCCTATCAGAAATAGACAGTTTCACCCTTTTCAAATTCAGACTCAAGACACACCTGTTCAAATCTGCCTATGACCTGTGATTTTATTAGAATTGTTTATTTTTCTGTGTTTTTTTCTTCTTTGTGCTTTATTGTTGTTTTAATGTATTTTACTGATTGTATTTTCCTGTCAAGTGACCTTGGGTGTCCTGAAATGCACTTTTAAATAAAATGTATAATTATTATTACTTTCACCGAGCTACTAGTTAGCCATGGCTAGAGCTGGGGAGACGTTGTGTGTTAATTCCCACGGATTACCAGCAAAAGGAGGCCAAAGTCTAAAGATAATGTTTAAGAAGCCCTCTGTGTCGGAGCATCTCAGAAACGCGTGGAGAACTACATCGCTGTTAGTAAAGTGTTGTGGAAATCAAGTAAACAACGCTGATTTAGCCACTGGCAAGCGCATGAGCGTATTGGGCGAGACGGCAGGCTGCAGGAAGAGAGGAGACTTGAGTAGAAGTACTTTGGAATTGACATGTTGGGACTGGATCGGGAGTAATGGTACTAGGAAAAGACGGTAGAACAACTTGAGGTGAGTTTGGGAGTCAGAGACACTAATCGGAGGTTGGCGGCCAGCTAATAGCAGGCGGGGATCTGAACATATGCGGCTTCCTTGTGTCGGAAATGATGACGAACTGACAAATTTTGTGTCTTTTGATTTAATGTTTTTTTTAACTCAAACTAACAAGTACAGGAACGGTGTAGCTATACTTTTCTATTTCTTAGTTGAATTAGCAGACTCCATGCTTCCAGGGCGCACTGCTGCCCTCTACTGGTTCTTTCAGGTTACAGTCGTAGACCAAACGAGTAACGTGGAGCTTGTCTGTCCCTAAACAGCTACTGTATTTTAAGATGGTGGATGACCATGGAATATCAACTACAGTTTATGTATATAAAAATGTATAATTTCAAGTTGAGAGGAATATTTAGAATTGATGCTGGTGAGAAATATTAGCTCACAGTGTTTCCCCTAGGAATTTTTCCAGCTGTGGTGGTGGTGGGGGGGGATTATGACATGT